CCTCTAGTATGAATAACGTAGTTTCCAAATTATATTTCTTACGAAAACAATAACGTCCGTTAAGAAACACCACTCTTATTTTTTAGTTTCTTATTATTTGTATATACAGTAAATTTATATCATTACTTTAGTCGTTTTATCCATTAATTTACATAAAATGTAAATTAAAACATACTCTATGTGTTCTTATTAATATCTGTACTACCATATAGTATTTTTAATGTTCATATATATTCGGTAACTTATGTTATATATTATAGCACATTCTTTCATATAAATTTTACAACGTCCGATGAGTTTTTTTAATTATTGCAACATTAATTTACTTATTAGAATCGAATAAGTTTACTTGTATAATTATAAAAATCAGGTCACATAATACCTAATGTTTTGTATACAAGTACTTCAAGTTCAGAAGATGATTCCTATGTTCGAGAAATGAAAAAAATTGTGATGATGGAAGAAGGCTATTTAATTTTTAATATTTACCTACACGACATACGAAATAAAACTTAGCTTTCTAATTTCAGAAATATGCATATTACTGTTTTAGTTAGTGAGCAAGAAAACAAAATTTAACCTGAAAACGAATTCATCATATGTGTTATTTATGTTTCTGTGGGTGATGAAAGGGCTAAGAGTGTTGTTAGCTAAAATTGTGATAAAAATTTCACAAACTGATAAAGACATTTCCAAGAAATAAATTATGAACAGTTATAACGTTTTGAATAACTTAAAATAAATTGATCAATTGAATATTAAATGAAAATATATATCATAAATTGATCAGTTGAATCAATTATTTATTAACATGCAATTATCTTAAACAAAGGAAATCATTCTAAGCATGACTAAAGATAACTTTGGGTCTCGCAATTGTCGTAAAACAGAAAGTTTGTTAGTCTTGCGAAGCATCTTCGTGCAGTTTTAATACCACGTGATATATAGTGTTATAAAACGATTTAACACTAAACTCTGTAATAAAAATAATTTCAATGATATATGTAGAACTTTTAACTATAATATTTGAGTAAGTTAAAACGGCGGTTTCCTGACGAAGAAGCCGGAGCAGGCAATTATGGACAAATTGATCGTAACCATCAGATTCATAAAATATTCATTCTTTGTAATAGCTAGGCAGCAATAAAGACTCTTAATCTTAACAGGTGACGTCAAGACTAGTAATGAAGTGTTTTAAAGTGATAAATATTTAATTGTATTTTAATTGTATTTAAGGTTTTGTGTAATGTTTGAATTTTCGGCAACAAAATTGTTGAAAACTTGCTAAATAAGGGTCAGTCTCGTTTTTTATAAACTTCAATATATTATCATTTCTTTCATCTAACCGGAAAGAAGCGAAGAAACAAACAAAGCTATACTGAGATAGTCTAGCAGGGTTATCGCAATCGGAATCACTAATAGGGAATTGAACAGAAAACTAAATTTAAATTTGTATATTAAATAAATTTATTTATTTATTTACTTATAAGTTTAGAATTGTATTTAAATTATTAGTGACTTTTTGAAGGCATGTCTTTTATGGGTACAATTTCTTTTGATAGTGTGTACTAGGTATGTATAGCAATTAAGCCGCCGCTCTTCTTCACTAGAATTTCAAGAAACGAACGTCTCCTGAATCCTGGATTCGCTTTCACAAGTTAAATATTTTAACAGAAACACTTCGTATAATAAATTTAGTGATATCTAAAACTGTGTTATTTCTAATATAAATATTTATATTGAATATTTGTTTCACTAAATTTTTTAATTATAAAATGTCTCAACCTCCAAAAATTTGCCATCGAAAATGTTTGCATTTTTATATACAGCCATAGTCAAAAGTATTTACACAACGAAAGTTTTTGTACATATTGCATAAAAACATGTTTTTATTGTTGTTATTGGACGTCAGTTGCAAACAATTTTTTTGCTGTCACTTAGTTTTATCAATGCAGAACCAAATAAAAATGAATTGGAAAGATAACTGTTCATTTGACAAAAATATAAGCAACTGCGTTGATGCTTATTAGTTGTCAAAAGTATTTTCTTCGCGTCAAAAATATTCACGGAAAATATTAATAAGCATTTATTCCAGGATTTCCTTTAAGTAAGTGCAGTTGTTAGCTTTTGTCACAAACTACAAAAATTTAGAAATTTCAAAATTTCAAAAATTATTCGGGAAAATGATAAAAACCAAGGAATTATCAGTTTAAATTCGATCTGAGGTTGGTACCTAATATAAAAGTGGAATTTCGGCGATGAACTTAGTTATACAAAGTATTACATAAAACGGTGTAAAATCTGGGCGGAAACCTCGCATGAATCAAAGGGAATGCAGAAGATTATTACGAGTAGTAGTAGAAAATCCTACAATAAGTCCTGTCAAAATAGCAGCATGATCGGAAAAGTTGATTGGCAAGATTATTAGTGATGCTACACTACATCGCAGGTTGAAAAATGTTAATATCAATACCTATGTGGTGCACAAAAGAGTCAATATTTCTCTAACAAAACTTTCAAATATTTTCTCATTGGCTTGAAGTATTTTAAGAAACCTATACAGTTTTGTTACAATGTGTTATGAACAGATGAGTCTGAATTTCAATTCTAGGGTTCATTTGATAACCACTCCATGCATTTAGGACAACGCCAAAAGAATAAAGCAGTGCAGCCACTCAATAGATTTGAAGGTGGCACGGTTTTATTTTGGGGATATCTATCATGCTATGCATTTGGAGATTTGGTACCGAAATATGGCACCTTAAATCAGACCAGTTATATTAATATTTTAAATAACCATGCTTATAAATATATAAATATATAAATATAATATTTAAATAAAAATATGCTTAAGACTTCATAAAACAGCAAAATACTGTTGATAGAAATCCAAAATGTAGTGATAGCATAATTGAAATAGCGAAATAATAAAAAAATTTTAAAAAAATTCATCATTTAAGAAAAAGAAAATGAATTTAACGTTTTGTGTAAATACCTTTGACGCGAAAAACATTTATGTAAATACTTTTGATTTTTTTGTCAAATGAACAGTTATCTTTCCAATTCCTTTTCTATTTGGTTATGCATAAATAAAGCTAAGCGACAACAAAAAGTTTTTTGCAACTGACATCTGACAACAACAATAAAAACATGTTTTTATGCAATATATACAAAAACTTTCGTTGTGTAAATACTTTTGACTATGGCTGTATTTTGCGTTATTGCACTTATTTGTTATTGCATTTTTTAGTACATTAATGTTCCGAAGAACATTTTTTTATTAGTATCATTTCTGACATTTCTTTAGCATTAAACTATTAAATTAACACTGAGTATGTTCTTGCCATCTGAACTTTTGTTTTAAATTCCTACAATAATTTTGAGGAACCTGTTTTACGTAAGCCATTCCACCTATCTGTTTAAACATATTTTTGTATACAGAGGAAACTGCTACCTTAAGTTTTCTTGTTTTTACTACTGAATTTATGATTTAAATTTTTTATTGTACATATATTTATATGTATAAACATTTTTTGGATTTTTAATGAAGAACTCAATATTAAACTACAAAAATGCGCTATCAAACTGGATATTTGAAATTCAAAGATTTCCAATAATTAATTCTTTGCCAAAATAAAATAAAACTTAATTTGTTATATAGGACTTTCTGCAGTAAGTGCAGGTACATCTAATCTGTTTTAAAAAAATTTTCTATATGTATATTTTAAATTAGATATTTTGAATTCTACTCTTCACAATTTTATACAAATATTATTATAAATAACAACTAAAAGCTTTAATATATTCTAAAGTTTTCAAACAATATATTTTTAAAAAGCATAATAAAACTATGAAGTATTTTTTAAATGCAAAATTCAACCACTGAAAATTGTACGTAAAATGTAATATTTAACATACACATATAACTTCGAGTTAAACTTACATTGAAAAGGTTCACTATATATAAAATTTTTATAAGCATCCTTACATATCAATATAAATTCAGTAAAGTAATCATAAATAAATCTACGAAAGGTGTTACGAAGTTTTATTATTCACTTCTTAACATTATAAGCTGAAATAGTGTATAATAATTAAATTATTAACATAATCGTTTGTAAAATATGTGATCAATAATTTAAACAGTATTTTTGTTTTTATTTTCCCGTAATTTGAAATCATTATTATGTTCTCTACTTAGTATCATAACAGTAATTATAATTATATTAATGATAAGGATAATAATAATCCTTTACATCTTAATCAGAATAATTAATAATAGTTTACTTTATGATAAAGATGTATTAATTGTACATATGTTATATGTTCCATTTACTTGTATTTTAGAATTATTAACAAATGTGTTTCAAAATTAGGGCTGTGTGTGAATTGTGACTAAATTTAATAATTCTAAAGTATAATCTAGTTCTGTTGCTAAATATAAATACAATTTAAATTCTCTTAATCGGTAGTAACAAATAAACTGCCTTGCCATGTTATCAGACTTTTAAGAAATTGTGTCTCATATCGTTTCTTCTTTTCTTTTCATCTGCATTTTAGCACGAATTCTAGCTATCTTTAAAAAACTTTTGAAATATTTTAGTAAAAAACAAATATTGCTACAATTCGCACACTGCCTACATTAATTAATATAATTTAAACACAGTATTTATGTTTTCCCACCTCTAGATATTTGCTCATATGTTTATAAGTTTGATTTTTATATAAATATTTTTTTAATATATTAAATATATAATTTTACGCTACATTGATGTGCTGCTGTAAGTATTCAATAATCAAAAAAATTTTATTTTACTTTTAAAGACGTGAGATGTCTGTCTGTGGCCCAACATATGTGGATTATAACATACCATTTTTATATGGGAACTTCGCCTAATAAATATAATTTGAAATTTAATATTACTCACTTGATGAAATAAGTAGTTTTAAATAAAAAAATTTTTTATATTAAATTTTAAATAAAAATTTTGGCTAGAATATAAATTTCACTCCATTTAAATTTTTTTAAATATCTTAATTCTAGTTAAATATATTTCATATTTTCCTAGTAGTTTAAGCTGCTTTAGTTTTATTGGTCTTAAAGCTAACTTGCAAAACTCTGTTGCCAAGCGTGTAACCATTAAGTGATTGTATTGCCACTACCGCCTCATCATAGTTTGTCATGGTAACGAAGCCAAATCCTTTGCATTTGCTGGTTTGAAGATCGCGAATAACTTTTACTGATTGGACGGCACCGAATGGTCCAAACAATTGCCATAATACATTTTCTTCAGTTTCTGGTGCTAAATTATAAACAAAAATGCACCAACCAGATCCAGTCATTGCGTTGCCAGGTAAAATTGAATTGGCTAATAAATCACCAGCCAAAGGAGAATATCTATAGAAAATAAAACAAAAGAAAATGACAAAATAATTAAAAAAACTTTATTTTTTTTTAAATAAAAATGTACTTATTGCTATTAGTTTTTAACTTAAGAGCAAATTGCTAATTGTCTGTTGCTACTACTTTACATTTTTAAATATTTATACAATTTTTAAATCAAATTTCATTGTTTTAATCTTTCGAAAAATACATTATCATTTTTTAATAACGATTTTTTCGTCACAAGCTTGTGATAATGTACGGTTAACAGTAGTATAGAAGCCAGATTCCAATAATTTAAATAATTGTTTTATAGAATTACACGTAAAAAACCTGAATAAGTAAAAAGTAACTGATATTAATTTTTAATTTGAAAACAATTAATTTAAAAATTTTTATTATGAGGTTTAAACTGAATGCTTTCTAAATTGAGAAATTTTATGAAAACGCTTTGACGCTTATTAAAAGAAATCTAGTATGTAATCTCGCATATAATTATTTTTTTATTGTACAAAAAAAGCGTGTTTAATGAACTTAATGAAGTTGTTAATGATTCAATTTGTGTAATTCAATTAATTTCATTTAATAACATTAATAATTTTTTTTTATTAGTAATTATTACTAATCATCTTTTATAATTCAATTAGTATTTGTTTATTAAAAACAATTCATGTACACAGTGAACCTCTCGTTTCTCCCCTTGTCTGTATGAAGCTCTAGTTACTAATTTTTATTTCGCAGAACAAAATGAGAAATAAATTTTAAGAACTACCAAGTTTCTTGAAGACGTTACAGTATACGAAAAGTTCAAAGTGTTAAATATTCATTTAATCAAGGTTTGAATCAAGGTATTAAAAAAGTACAAGTGAAGTTCAAGCAAAATTATTATTATCCTCGATACTTTGAAAAAATTTTAGACATAATTAACAATTATGAACTATGTAAAAAATGTAAATTCGAAAATTCGTATACCTCAGAAAATACGTTACAAAGTGACCTCCAAGGTATTCTATACGTGAAAAATATATTGTGAACATTTGGAATTGAGATAATATTTCCTACGCTACTTACATATAGGTCATTCTTCTACAACTCGGACACCTTTTTGACCTCATGATCTTCGATTTGGCTGAAATTTTTTTTATGAGCTTTATGAGGATCTTTCATGAGAAGACCCGTATCTCGGGAAAAATTGTTGTGATTTTTTTCCTAGGAGATATGGACCCATGGGGTTTTGATAATTGGCATAGTAGACACATTTTCAAATGGCTATATCTCAAGTTCTATAAAAGGTAGAAACTTGAAATTTACAGCGTTTCAAAGATAATTGATTGAACTTTTATAAAATTGTTTAAACAATTAAAATTGTTTATATTTATGTCCTAATATTAACTATTAAACTTCAAAAAAAAAATTTGCTTAAAATATATCCCCTGGGATTCCATTTTTTATATTTTATTTAGATTCAGTTTTAAATTTTACTACGAAATAAAAATTTTTAGGATGCTATTATTTTTTGAGATTCTTTAATATTTTTTCTCCCGCAAAACACATCAAGCACATGCGTACTACATTTTCATTGAATGAATTTTCAATGAATATACTACATATATTCTTGTATAATATTTTTGATTTCGATTAGTAATAAAATTTTACATAAAACCCAAAAAAAAAAACCCAAAAACCCATACTACATATATTCTTATATAATATTTTTGATTTCGATTAGTAATAAAATTCTACAAAAAACTCAAAAATTTCAGGACGATATTGTAATTAGAAGTACTTTTAAAAATTTATTTATCCTTCATATCACACCAAACACATACACACGATTTTTCAGTAAAAAAAAGGAATATGTCACACATTTTTTTTTTATTTTTGATTCAAATTAATATATAAATTCTACATCAAAAATAAATATTTCCACTGTGATATTCATTTTAAAAGTAATTTAAAAAAATTAATTAATCAGGTGATTGCATCCTAAAAATTTTTATTTCGTAGTAAAATTTAAAACTGAATCTAAATAAAATATAAAAAATGGAATCCCAGGGGATATATTTTAAGCAAACTTTTTTTTTGAAATTTAGTAGTTAATATTAGTACTTAAATATAAACAATTTTAATTGTTTAAACAATTTTATAAAAGTTCAATCAATTATCTTTGAAACGCTGAAAATTTCAAGTTTCTAATGTTTATAGAACTTGAGAAATAGCCATTTGAATATGTGTGTACTATGCCAATTATCAAATCTCAATGGGTCCATATCTCCTAGGAAAAAAATCACAACATTTTTTCTCGAGATACGGGTCTTCTCATGAAAGATCCTCATAAAGCTCATAAAAAAAATTTCAGCCAAATCGGAGATCATGAGGTCATCTTTTGCCAAATTCCGTCCGGTTTGTAAACGAATGACCCATACATGCTTTTTTCTAGATACGCCCTGGCAGAAAATGGAAACTGAATCGAAACAAAATGTGCTTTATTAAAATTATTTGACACCATGGATCCTCAAAAAGCATTAAGAAAGATTTTTGCAAGAATTGTTGAAAATATTAAAAATAGAAATTGTAATAACTACATGGAAAACTGAAATATCAGACTGGTTGCTTAATACCTTAAACGAGTACCTAATAGCATTGACAGACGAGCGCACTAAATTATCATTAAGCAACCTTAAATGATCATTTTAAAAATACCCCGGCAGACGGTATAAATTATCATTAAGAAGTTGCTGTATCATATGTTTTTTGTTATTGAAAAAGCAAAAGAAAGAATTTTGAATTCAAAATGAATAAGCAAGAAAAATTAAAGAAACTTGCTTTAATTAAATATAAAATATATAAAAAAAATATGAAATATATAAAAATATATCGAGTATGTATTTACATTACCAATGTTTACAGATATGTTTTGTTTACATTTTGACAACCAAATAGCTTAAAATTTGTTCCATATTTTATTTCGTTTCGCTTGCATATGCAGCTTTACCATTTCTAAAAAGAAATAATAACGAATTGAAACAGGTTGCAATTGAGCAAACTATTTTTACCTATAATCATATTATAGTACTAAATTAGGCGATTGAAATATTACAAACTACACACAGGTAAATCTGTCAAACTGATATTGTCAACTACGTGATATTCATACGAATGATTACTTACTTACTTATGTGGCCATAACAATCCGTTACCGAGTTTCGGCCTGACGTAGCATGTCTCCCCACGCGCCTCTGCTGCATGCGCGCCTTCTCCAGTCTCATATATCAAGTCCAGTTAGTGCTCCCTCAACTTGATCACTCAACCGGAGACACGGTCTACCTCTACGTCTTCTTCCGCCAACTACTGCTTCAAACACCTTTTTCGCCGGAGCGTCTTCATCCATTCTCACGACATGACCAAGCCAGCGAATCCGCTGGATGTTAATGCGCTGAATTATATCAATGTCGTGATAAAGCTCGTACAGCTCGTGGTTCATTCTAATGCGGTAGTCGTCGCCAACTCGTAGAGGACCAAAGATTTTACGAAGAACTTTTCTCTCGAACACTCCTAGTGCTGCTTCATCATTCTGTGATAACGTCCATGCTTCTGCGCCACACAGAAGCACAGGGAGGATGAGCGACCTATAGAGCGTAAGTTTCGTTTGTCGAGAGAGAGCTCTACATCCCAATTGCCTACTGAGCCCATAGTAGCACCTATTAGCAATGCTGATTCTTCGTCTGATCTCCAGACTGACATCATTTGTATTCGTTACGGTGGTGCCAAGGTAGATGAAGTCCTTGACAGATTCGAAAGTATAGTCGCCAGCCACTAGCCCGATATCCGAGCAACGCACATTTCTACCAGTAGCCGACATAAACTTCGTTTTTCCCTCATTCACCGCTAAACCCATTCTTGCAGATTCCTTTTCGATAACAGCAAAAGCAGCTGTAACATCACGCTTGCTACGCCCAATGATGTCAATGTCGTCGGCGTAAGGAAGGAGCTGGACACATTTGTAGAATATTGTTCCATTACGATGAACATCTGCCCTGCGCATGATCACTTCCATGACGAAGGGATCACCTTGTCTGAAGCCTCGCACGGTATCAAAAGGTTCAGAGAGACTCGATCCTACCTTGACGGAGCTACGGCGCCATTCTGCAAAGTCGAATGAATGATTGTAAACAATATATTACAATCTATCACAAGAATTTGCTTCTAAGTTTTATAGAACGAAAGTTATTCAAAATAGAATCATAACCAGCCATTGTAAGCACCTCAAATGAATAAAATGCTTGAGTATCGTATCATAAACCGTTATAATAGTACAGGCAACGTAGCCAACGCGTGGTGGTGGACCGAAAAAAAACAGCAACATCACCTGAAATGGTTTGGAAAGTAAAGGCTCGCTTGTGTCTCCGATTGAGTGATCAAATTGAGGGTGCAGTAACCGGACTTGATGTACGAGACTCGAGAAGGAGCGCACACAGCAGAGGCGCTTGAAGAGACATTCTGCGTCAGACCGAAACTCGATAACGGGTTGTTATGGCCAAATAAGTAAGTAAATGAGTAAGTAATAAATATTGAAATACTACAAACTTCATAAAAAAAAATTATCTTGGATTAACTATACTTACGTCAATCACATGATCGTATATAATTATATGACTAAGCAAACAAAACAAATAACTTTTGTAAAAATAGTCTTCAGTGAGTTGATTTCATTTTTTATATACTACTTTATTTATGTAAACATTTTTTTTTGTAAGAATATATATTTTATTTACATGATGTTGTATTTTTAATCATAAAAGGTACACACGAGTACTTTACATTAATAAAACATGATTAGCAAGTAGCAAAAAATTATTATACTGCAACTCTAAAAGAGAGTAATTTGAAGTTATCGTGGTAATATCACATTACTATTACCAAAATGTTATAAAAAAGAAATTTCCAAAACCACTTTCTCTTATGCTTGAAATGGGTGAAGTTTCCGTTCTTTGATAGATATTCTTTCTTGTCAC